AAGATGGGGAAAAGAATATAATGATAATTACTTGATAGAAAGAAGGGCAGAAGATATAACTATGTGTTTTCTTCTCTTTTCATTCCTTCCCCCCCTTTTTCTTACTTTCTATCTTTTTGTTTTGTATAATCTATCTATCTATCTATCTATCTATCTATCTATCTATCTATCTATCTATCTATCTATCTATCTATCTATCTTTCTTCTATTAAACAGTTTCCTTTTCTTTCCTCTGTTAATCAGATGTTCCAGCTCCTTATATGACCTCCCATTGCAAACCTAGCAGATAGCTGCACGGAAAGATAAAGCTCTGTCTTAGAAAGGTGGCTCATTAATTCCAGAAATTTTATCAAATGAACTTATCTTGAAATGTTTTCCTTTGGTCTTTTCACTGTATGGGTCTTTTTCTCTTTGTGGCCAGTTCTGGCAGTATGGAGAATGGGTGGATGTCGTCGTTGATGACCGGCTCCCCACAAAAAACGGACAGCTGCTCTTTTTGCACTCAGAAGAACGCAATGAGTTCTGGAGTGCCTTACTGGAGAAGGCCTATGCCAAGTAAGTCACAGCTAATTCTGAGACAGTTCCCATTAATAGCTCTCAGGATTAGACTATTAATTATAGTTTGCCTTGTGAATTGTGTCTAATGCTACCAATGAATCCATGCTAAGTATAATTCAATGATTTCTGAGCAATGAACAGTCTTGAGTGGCATTTTGAAGAATAATACATTTATTATGGCATATATTTTCAGGGAGTAGAATCTAGGATGAGGAGAAATTAATTCAGTTCTGGTTAAGAATTACCAAATTAATATGCAAAAGGGTATTCCACCTTCTCAGAAATTTGTGATGCAGCTCTCTGTGTACAGACATGCATGTGTTAGGGGAAATACACATAAAGTGCATGTCATAGTGGGAGGAATATAAAATAGCAGTATATTAAGGACTTCCATGCTACTTTGGCATCCACTGAAAAAAGAGAGAGGGCTAGTGTCAGAATATTAATGTATTCAGCCCTTAAATCATCTCCCCTAGTAGTCTCATAGATGTGAATGCATATGCTGTTTCTTTCTCCAAACTGGATTGGATAGTTTGAAATGGATTAGACTAGTCTGAAATGAATGCAGAAGATTAAGTCCATCCAAAAATACCTGGAATTGTGTTGTAGTATAGGACTCATGCTTTCTACTCTAGAGCCATTCTCAAAAACGCAAATTTGAGACTGGCTGGCAATTATTTAGAATCGCAGAAACCAAAGAAGACTTTCTAAATTAAAAACATGTCCATGCCTATTTCTTTCTCTCTCTCTCTCTCTTTCAATTTACAGTTAACCCATCATTCAGCCTGCCCTCCTTTAACTAATATGGGTAAGGGCCCATAGAGTATGTCCTTCTTACCAATTTTTTCACATCCTCAAGTAATACGTATTGAAAATATCCAAAATGGGAATAATTATTTGCCAGTATTATCTTTCTTTACTGTCTTTCCAAAGCTTCTTCTTACTACACCTTGGAGACCAGATGTAATCAGCAATTCAACTAGTCAACAGTGTTGATGCAATGATGGCAGAGAAGAAAGATTTGTTTGCTCTGTTTGCTGTCACAGAGTAAGCTCTAAAATGGGAGTTGATATGTGCTTGGCCAGGTCAGCCCAATTTTTTTCCACCATCACTCTAATTATCAACTAAAGCACTTCATTGTCCTTAGCTCCTCAGAAATCAAAAGGACCTCAAGTGCACGTTCCTGTAGAACATGTTTAAGGCAATCACATCAGCTAACTGGGTTATCTCTCCATTTTGTAGGTGCTTTCATAAGATTACCAGCTCTAATCTTCACTATATTCAGGATTCCTTTAGACTCAATCTGTGTTCAGGGACAGATTGGTTCTTTTACCACTGTAGGGAGATATGTGTTCCAGAAAAGCTACTTCCTAATGATCTCATTTCTTTTGGATTCCAGTAGATTCATATAATCATAGAGCCATAGTTGAAAGCAGCCATTTAGGCCACTGACTCCAACTCCTTGCAGTGCAGGATTCCAGATTAAAGCATTCTGTCTAGCCCCTACCAGAACACATCCAGTGAATGGCAACCTGTCATCTCACTGGGTGATTGATTTCACAGCTGAATTGCTCTTACTGTTAGGTTTGTTAGGAACATTCATACTCACAGATAACCTCCATCCTGACTGACTGATTTGTAGTCATATGAGGTGAGATAAGAATTTATGTAGGCCTGTTATTGCCATGAAAACCATGAAATCCTGAGCTGCACCAGATGAAGACATGTTGCTGTAAATGTTAGCATCCTCCCAGAGAGCAAATCAACTAGCTCTGAGAAAATCTCTAGTAGCGTAAATAAGAGAACAATTACATCGTAAATATTTATTTATTTATTTATTTATTTATTTACATATCACATTTATATAGCCACCCATCTCACACAAAGTGACTCTGGGTGGTGTACAACAAATAACAAACAGGTAAAAACAATCATTATAAAAGATTAAAAAGTGATTATTAAAATACAACATCATCAAAAAGTTTAAAAATTTTAAAATATACAAACCCCACAGAGAGAGAGAATATTAATCATAGTGGAGTCATCTAAGAAAGTCTCCGGTTCCCAAAGATCCCCAGGCCTGATGACATAACCATGTCTTAAGGGACTTCCTAAATCACAGCAGGGAAGGGGCAAGCCTCACTTCAGTGGGGAGAATGTTCCACAGGGTGGGTGCCATGGCAGAAAAGGCCCGTCTCCTGGGTCCCACCAGAGGTAACTCCTTAGCAGATGGGAGCAGTATACCTTTTCTGCCGGACCTGATGGGATGGGCAGAGATAATCAGGAAGAGGTGGTCCCTCAGATAACCTGGCCTCATGCCATGAAGGGCTTTAAAGGTCAAAACTGGCATCTTGAACTGGACCCAGAAGCAAACTGGCAGCCAATGCAGCTCGTGAAACAGAGGTGTAATATGTGGTCTTCTAGGAGTACGCATAACTAGATATGCTAGAAATGTCTATCCTGTTCACTACTCTATCATCTGACACCCTCACTTGAATCTTGGGGATTGTTGGACAGGTGTCCTCAATAAGGGGTAGATTCATAATTGACAATGTAATTCTACTTCTCAGCCATTCATCCTAGTTTACTACTGAGTTGGGAAACAGCTAATTATTTGGAAAAATATTAAATCAATGGTTTTGCTAAATAGACTTAATTGTTCATGCAGTTGTTCAATCTATATTATTGCTGGTTGTGGAAAGTAACTGTTTTTTAAATCACTGTTTTGTTTTTTGTTTTTTTCTTATTTCTCCAATGTAGACTGAATGGTTCTTATGAGGCTTTGACTGGTGGATCTACTATGGAAGGTTTTGAAGACTTTACTGGTGGTATCTGTGAATCTTATGACCTGAGGAAAGCTCCCCCTAAACTGTATCAAATAATGCAAAAAGCCCTGCAAACTGGTTCATTGTTGGGCTGCTCCATTGATGTAAGATGGCCTCCCTCTCCCCCTCTCCCTCTCCCCCCCCCCCGCTTTATCCAGTCCTTTACAATTTGATCTTGAGAGTGTAATGAAGGAATTGATGTGATGCCCAGCACCCTACCTGGTGTCACAGCAGTGCAGAAAACATGACTTATGTGTCGGGTCACCAATTTCACCATTGTGGTGGGTGAGGTCATTGGCAGAGTGTCATGTGTAATCCTGCTTTCTCCACAGTGCTGCAGCTCCTCCAGTGAGGATGCTGGTAGGTACAATTACATGAAACATTCTTTCAAAAAGTATTTATGTCAGATAAATAAGACAGTTTGCATGGACTTGAGTGAACTTTGGATCAGATGCATAGGAATGCAACTATACTCCCTAGAGAAAGCAGCATGTACTTCCACAGATGAAGAAATTTGCTATTTCGATAAAGGTTGATTCCACAGTAGCTATTTAGTCTGGCACTCCTGTCCTTTGTTTACTCACTATTTGTAGACAATTCAGAAGATGTTGTTGTCAGCCTGTAGCAGTCATTTATGAAGTGTGCGACTTAATGCAGATATTTTAAATCTGACAAGTTTATTTTCACAAGCATACCTCAAAAACCTGGGAAAATTGATACATGTGTAGGAGTTTCAGTACAAAAACAGTGCATTTCCCCTGATGTTTTCTGATATAAATTGCTACTTTCCTTTGTAAGAAATTTCTAGCTATGTTTAACTGTGTATGTACCTGTACAAAAAAAATGGGACAATGTTATCTTTGTTACTATGTACTTTAGTCCTGCCCTGAACAATCACTAAATGGTGGAATCCAGTGCTTCAGTCCTATGGAGCAGAGTTTGAATGATATAGGACCATGGAAAATAGGGAATAATCCCCCCTTTCAAACAGAAAAGGGAACAGTTCCATCAGTACAGGAGAGTTCAGCTCCTTGCTGTGATGTTAGAGTTTTGAGCATTTCTTAGCCAAAGACTCTGGTTGACCCAGTTAATTGATTGCTTGGATCAACATATTCTATTAATTTTATGAAACTGTTTAGAATAACAAAAACTTAGTACAACCATCAGCAAAATTACAGTAAAACAGCAAATCCACTTTTTAAAAACATCTGGGGAACTCGTCCATTTTTATCCTTGTAAAACTGAACATTCTCCAGCTCCTAATGTTTTTCCTCTTTGATCAGTATAAAAGTTGTGCTACCTTTTAGATGTGCCCTGTTGACCAGCAGTTTAATTTAAAGAAATATACCCGTTACAGGTAGTCCTCAGATTACATCCATTCACTCAGCAACCTGCAAAGTTATGACAGCTGAATAAATGGTTATACAACAGGTCCTCAAGTTGTGGTTGTTGCAGCATCCCTGTGGTCATGTGATCAAAATTTGGGTACTGGCAACCAGCCTGCATTTATGACCGTCGCAGTGTTCTGCATTCATGTTCTCCTGCCCTGCATGAACTGCCTCCATTTCAACTCCCCCCACCCGCCTATCTCCCCTCCGTCTCTGCCCTTTTGATTGCCCCTGCACAGCATGGCCAAGATGAAGAGGCTGCTGTATTCCACCACTGCTGCCCCCCCCTTGTCGCTGCCCCCAGCTGACCGTTGTTGTCTTTGGCTTGCTTCCCCTCCACTGGGCTTGCCTCCGGTGCTGCTTCCCCGACCACCAGGCTTCTGGTAACCTACCTCGCTTCAGCAGTCTCAACCCACTGCTGGCTGGGAGATCCTGCTGACGCACTTGCCCTGCAGAGAGGGTTTGCACTGACCCACCCTGGACCTGCCTGGTACACGGGTGCAAAAGTCCTGGCACGATCTGCTGCCCACATCAGCTTCTTCTTCTTCTGGTTCTGATTCTGATTCTCTCTGTGAAGAACTGCCACCAACGTGTGAGTCCCTCTGCTGGAGCTTGCTGCTACTTTTGGGGTGGCTCTGTGGCCTTTGCGCTGGGACAGTGAGTTGAAGCAGAGGCAGTTTGCACAAGGCAAGAGAAGTGTGAGGTTCTGTCAGGTTCAGCCCAAAGAACTCCACAAGACAGTACAAGTCTAGTTCAATAGCTTTTTTTTAGCTTCCAACCACAGACAGAATCCTGCCAGACTGAATCCAAACTCCTCAAGCCAGCAAACAAAACCCCACGAATTCCTTAGGGTGGTGCCAGTCTCATCTTCTTAACCTTCCCACGCTCATGCTGGGAGCTAAGGCAATGCTTATCTCCCCGAGCGCGGCCTTCATCGAAACATTCCATCACAGGTTCTCACCTAACGACTGTGTGGTCCTGGCCTAACAATCACAATCTGGACTGCCAGGTAAGTGGCAATCACGTGATGTTTCACTTAACGACCGCTTCGCTTTGCTTAGCAATGGAAATTCCAGTCCCAATTAGGGTCGTAACCTAAGGACTACCTGTATTTAGCTTATCCTCAAATATTCTCTAACAAATCAAAATCTGCCCTCCCCACACCAAAATTGACCTCTCGGTGTTGCCTGCCAAACTGATCCTGCTTGAAGAACAGATAGTAATTTGAGAAACTTTTCTTGAAAGTCCTGGCTTTTAGCTTTTACCTAGCTTGGGCTTCTAGGTCTGTTATCCTCCCAGATCCTCACCATGACCACTATCTATCAGGTTACACAGACAATGTAAGAGATCTGCAACCTTCATAAAAGGCAAGCAATTCATACAGATTGTGCTGTCTCTGCCTGTGTTGACAAAACTGTGAGTATCAGGTCCTTCTCCTGCCCACTGGAGATGTATTTTCTGCAGAAGATATCTGTCCTACAAGAAATAAGTCTCTTTTGAGGAATCATCTCCTTCCTCACAGTTCCATTCAGACTTCATCTGTGCCCAGTTTTGGTTGCCTTATTTCAAGGGAATTAGACTGGGTTCAGAGAATGAAGCAAAAATGGCTAGAGATATGGAAAATAAGATATAACGTAATGAGACTTCTCAAATAACTAAGGACCTATTATATAAAAGGTGACAAACTCTTGCTTTTAGTTGTCTGTCAAACTTCACACAAGAGATAGCAATAAAACTTGACTCCCCAGACAGTTACAGTTCAGGGAAATTTGGCTTTTTCTCTTCCCAGGCTTGAGATAGGGGCATCTGTTCAATCTTTACCTGTTCTGTCTGGCATGAGATCTCTTGGTTCCTGCCTCACCAGCTTCAGCCTTACATCACATCCAGATTACAAGACTGAATATAATGGAGCTTACCAATTCAACATTGCTAAGAAACATCTTAATAGTAGGAACATTTTGATAATAAAGTCAAATTCATGGGAACAGAACATGGTTTCTTTCACTGGAGATCTTCAAACATTTATTTGGGATGCTCAAGCTTGGGATTTCCAATTCTAAGGAGGGATTTGGGCACAGATGATTCTGTGACTTTCATTTGTCAAACAGTGCGCATTGAAACTAGAAATGTTTTGACAATTTTAATTTTTCCTAGATTACCAGTGCAAACGAAACAGAAGAAATAACAAGTCAGAAGCTGGTCAAAGGCCATGCTTACTCTGTAACTGGAGCAGTAGAGGTAAAGATACAGATTTTCAAAACTTAATTTGCAACAAAATTAATGTTCAGTGATGCATTTACTTACATTTATTTATTTTTAGCCTGCTCCTATCCTGGGTGGTGATTCTGGGTGGCAAACAACAAAGCACAAATCAAAATAGATACCTTGGAACAATATAAAGTTTACCTCCTTGCAGGGAGGGGTGGGGCTGAATCCAGGGAAGGAGTTTTCCAGAGTGGGGTACCACAGAGAATGCCTGTCATCTAGTCCATGCCCTGCATACTTTTCAAGAGGTGGTTTTCAACAGGCCCTCCCTAGATGTTCAGATCACATGGGCAGATTCAGCTGTGGGAAGGCATTGCTTGAGATATCCTGGGGCTGTGTTGTAGACTTTGAACGGAATGACCAGTTCTTTGAATTGGGCCTGGTACTCTACTGGCAACCAATGCAATGACTTTATAATTGGTGTTATTCTACACTGGCAGGAGTGTCCCGCCAGCAGTCTGACCCCTACATTTTATACCAGCTGCATCTTCCAAGTTGTCTCCCAAGAAGCCCCATGTAGAATAAATTATAGTGGTTCAACTGGGTGGTGATCAGAGTGTGAGTCATTGTTGCCAGGGCATCCTGATCCAGGTAAGGTTGTAACTGATTCACCAGCCAAAGCAGGGTGAAGTCACCCCCTCACCCCCAGCCACAGCTTGTACCTGCTGCCTGAGCAGAAGCTGAGAGCCAGGATGTTGAATAACATGGGGAAGAACATCAAGCGCTGTGCGGTCCACAGTGGAATACCTGTGGGCTTGAGAATCCTCCTATGACTACCTACCTGTGATTACCAACTGGAACCATCCACTCAAGAGTGGAACACCATACTGCAATGCCTCCTATTCCCAATCCTTGCAAGTAGTCCAGAAGGACACCCTGGCTAATGGTATTGAACACCACTAAGAGATTGTAAGGAGACAGGGAGATGACCTTGGGGAAAATATTCAGAAGCTGTTACAAAAGCAAAAGGTGCACAAGCATGCCTTGAACCTTGGAAAAAGATAAAGTATTAGGAAGAGACTCAGGCTGGCTCCTCCCGGTTCCCTGGGATATAAGAAAGAGGGAAGGGAAAATACAATCAGATTTGCAAGATTCTGTTAATATAGCCTACCTCAATAAAACATAGTTCTAATCTTGTGGAGTCTGTTTCTGATATGGACAACCTTGAAGGTCTGACAGAGCTCTAATAGGATAAAGAGAGGAGCATTTCCCCAATCTAGGTCTCAGTGCTGTTGTATTCCTGCTACACATCAGCTTCCCTTCCTAAGCACCCTGATCTCATTGCAAAACTGACAGTGGAATTCCCCAGGCTGATGGAGTTGGGGGATTTTAACCTGTCTTCCTTGGGAGAGCGATCAGAGGAAGCTTCATAACTCCCATTAAAACCATGGACTTTTCCTACATCATCCATGGCCCAATTCATATATTCATTAGATCTGTTTTTTTGTCTTGAGGCAGATGTGACATGATTTGAGGGTAGGGAATGTTAATATATGTCCCTCGTTATGGTGAGTTTGGAGTTAACCAGTGTTGCTAACCTCCATAGGGAAAATGGGTCCATTTAATCAGTCAGCTCAAGGTGTTCAATGGAACTGCTTGGTTTCCAGAGGGCACTTGGAGGGTTTCCTGAGGCTTTGGTGAAGAGTTCTTCTGCGGCTGTAGTTGCTTGCTAGAATACAAGGGTGACCACGCTTGCTTGCTTGCTTGTTTGCTTGATCGATCTACAGTATTAGTAAGGGAGCCATTGCAAAATCCCCCCAGTCCTCTGGGACCCCCAGGCCTGATATCATATCCAGGTCTTGAGGGACTTGCAGAATGTTGAGAGGGGTAGCACTAATCTCACTTCTGGGGGGAGAAGATTCCATGGGGGGGAGGGTGCCACCTTGCACCTGAATTGCCTCTCATGGGAGATGAAGTGAATCACCACCAGTGGGGGTGGGAGAGGAGATATATATCCAGAGACCTCTATTCTATGGAGTTACCTCAGATATTTCTCCTCTCACTACTTCTTTTTAACATCTACATGAAACCCATTGGAGGTCATCCATTAGTACAAAGCTTGGGATCATCAATATGCTAATGATACCCAGTTACACATCCCACATCTGGGCTGAACAGGTGATAGGGTGGAGGTGCTGACCCAGTACCTGGAAGCTGTCAGGGTCTGGGTGGAGAGAAGCAGAGTCTGACTGAATCCCTCCAACCCTGGCTTTGGATTTGTAAACATTGATTCCAGGGAAATTCTATCTTTGGCTGAAAGGAATTGTATTCCCCCCACTCAAAGGTAGCCTGCAATTTGGGGAATCACTTAGACTAATAGCTACTGTTTGAAAAGCAAGTGGCAGCTCTGGTGAGGAAGATTTTTGTGCGAAGTATGCCCATTCCTGGACTGGGAGGCTCTGCTCACAGTCATCATGCCCTAGTCACCTCCTGTTCACTGGTTGCCAGTTGTCTTCTGGGTGCAATTCAAGGTGCAAAGGAGCTAGGAGGGACATGCTATCACAGGTGGCAGCATTCAAGCTACAGAGAACCCTGTCCACTTTCTTGGATTCTACAAGCTCAGAAGAATTTCAGGTTATAACAAAAGATGCTACGTTGCTCACCACAGTGGACAGAACCCAACTGACGTACAATCCATAGTAGATATGAATAATCTGATCAACTAAGAAATCCACAGCGGGTGCTCTGTGTCTAAAAGGGTCTGGGTTACTCTGAATAGGGTCACTAGGTGGGAGTCTGCAGATACATAGGTATAGAGAGGAACTGATGGTTTGCAACTGTTACTGCCACTGTATAGTCTCAAACGTGATCTCTTATGATGCTCAATCACACCCAGTTCTGATTTTCTGCCATCATAGCTCTAGGCATCTTTTCAGTCACTTCCTTTCCCTCAGCTCCTCACTAAAGTAAGGAGCTGCTTGTGATTGGCAGCTGGGAAGAGGCCTTACCAAGGTGCAAGATGGAACTGTCTGCCAAATAGTTAGGGATCCCCAGGTGCCCTCTGGATTCATTAGCTACCTGAAGTGAGAATTACAGTGGATCCACTGCCCTTGTGGAAGGCTGGGATGTCCATGATCTGCAGTCTTAAAAATTGCCCTTCTTTGAATTTTCCCTCCCTCTTTTCAAAATGTATAATACTGTACTCTGAATTTGCCAAAATAGAGACATACCAAATTTTTCAAAATACAAAATGCTGGGTTTTTAATCTTTTTAAATTATAAAATAATGAAATTGTAAACACATCAGTAGAAATTTAAAGAAGGAAAATGAGACGCCTTTGGGAAGGAATTCTGTGGACTAAGTCCATTCCTGTGGTGGATGATCTAATTGTATCTAAGAACAGAAGACAATGGAACAGATATCCTAGGGGAATATGCAGAATTCCTAGAGGGTTCCCCCCTTCCTTCCTTCCTTCCTTCCTTCCTTCC